TAGAATAGAATAGATTAGAAGAGAATAGAATAGAGTAGATTAGAATAGAGTAGATTAGAATAGAATAGAATAGAATAGAATGCCTTTATTGTCACTATACAGTTGTACAATGAGATACAGAGCATCTCCTACTCAGTGCAAACATGGGGGCGGGGTGCACAGTTCTGCAGCAGTATTAAATATATATATATAAAATGTACAAATATACAATCCGGTGTAAAAAAAAAAAGTAAACATGTAAATATGTAAATAAATAATGTTTTGTATACAGTTCAGGTTATTGCACATTCATAGAGGAGAATGGGGGGGGGACTGTGTTATCAGTGCATGTGTGCGTTAAGGGTGGTTATGGTTATTCCTGTTGTCCTATGTGTCCTCCACAGCTGGTGTGGAGCACCAAGGTTTTAGTGACAATAACAGGCTATTCTATTGTGTTTCTATTTGTCTGTCTAACGTGGCAGCTCTGGTATGAACACAGTTCTTGACTCAATATTCTGAGCTTTATTGTAATGTCGTGCATTTTAATGGCATCAAATAACTAAAGCTGTGCTGTCTCGTTGCAGTTTTTCACAGACATCATTCTCAGCATTGATGAAACTGCTTTTAAAGATAAGGGAACATTAAGGAACATTGTTGAAAGCAGGAGGGATTGTTACTCCTGTGAGAAGAAGGGTTCCTGTTACAGAGTGAAAGGAACCTTTGAACAGCTGGACAAACTTGTAAGAAGATGCCAAAGAGCGACCGATCCTCACAGTACTGCTCCACAGGGATGGACAGGTCAGCACAGTCATCACGCTTCCACTCGTGTCAGATCTGTGGAAGTGTCTCAGGTTGTTATGGACTACATTAATAAAAAATGTGAAGAAAAACTCGGAAAAATTCTTGGAAACTGTTCACTGGTCCTTGTACCACAGTCTGACGTCACTGCACGGATTACTTTCAGACCACAGAGCGACTCGTTCCACCAAGCTGCCTTCGTCAGGCAGCGGTTCATCACATTTTACCAGAGAGTTGCGTCTGACCTGCACGTCATATCTGTCCCTGGGAATCTCCACGAGCACAACAAGCTGCAGAGAAAATTCCCAACTCTCATCTTTGAACCAAGCAACAATAAACTAACAGTCATGGGACCTTTCCCACACGTAGCTGAATTTAAGGAGTTTCTTTGGAAAAATCGTTCAACCAAGCGTCTGGTCAGCAAAACTCCAACAGACAGTCTGAGCAACAGAATCTCAGCGTCGTCATCGGCACACAAAGATCTCGATGAGGAATCCTGCCCCATCTGTATGGAAACAATAGTCGTAAATAAGAAAAAGACACTGCGGTGCAAGCACTCGTTCTGCAGCGACTGTCTGGAGAAAGCTTTTGTATACAAGCCCGTCTGTCCCACCTGTGGGGAGTTATATGGTACTCTAAAGGGGACGCAGCCTGATGGAGGCACTATGGAGGTCACCAGAAACGCTTCACCTTTGCCTGGTTATGAGAAGTATGGAACAATAGTCATCCGCTATTATATTCCACGTGGCATTCAGAAGGTGAGAGTGCAGACACAAGGTCATTTTCTCTGTGATCTGCTTCCTGGTTTCAGACATGTTTGACCCGGTCAGTCAGAATCATTAAAAACAGAAATCAGACTGAGGCTAAATCCAGAGAGCAGAGTATAAGAGCTTAACTTTCAGTGTGTTTGTTACCCTTTCATGACCCCAGTCTGCAGCATCTAGGTTTCACATCATCATCATCAGAAAAATGTTCCATCTGCTCACCTCACCACCACAAACCTCTGCACTTCCACCAGAGCTCCACACCCCTCCTTTTAAATCACATGTCAACATCCATCTGTTCAGACCCCTCATTATAACTTGGTCCCAGTCTCTTGGTACCTTGATTAGTTTTAGAGTTGTGACTCGATTTGTTTACTTCATTTAATCGTCTGTTTTTATTTTGCTGTACTAATGTCAGGTGACCTTGAGATCTGAATCTAAAACAAGATACCTGATAGAGAGCCTGAGTCTCCTGTCACCACAGGTCAGCCACTAACCAGAAGGTCGGTGGTTCGGTCCCAGGCTGCTCCAGGCTGCATGCCAAATATCCTTGGGCAAGATACTAACCCCATGTTTGCCTACTGGTGGTGGTCAGAGGGCCCGGTGGCGCCAGTGTCCGGCAGCCTCGCCTCTGTCAGTGCGCCCCAGGGCAGCTGTGGCTACAATGT